CAACCTGCATTATACAAATGACACAACTTTACTCGCCAAAACAGGATAACCTGAAGCCTCTGCTGCATAAAATCAAAGACTGCAGCCTTCAACATGGACTGCATCCCAACTTCAAGAAAACAAAAATTAAAAAACAAAGAGGAGGAAAAAAAAACCCTAAAAAATTATCACCACTGGGTCAACTGGCAGCATCATCAAGATAAATAGAGAAGAGATTAAAGTTGTTAACAATTTCATCTTGCTCAGAACCACAATCAACACTCTTGGCTCCAGCAGTTAGGAAATCAAGAGCTGGACTGAGAAAAATCTGTCAAGGTCCTCTACAGAGTGCACAAGAGTAATGGGGTCAATCTACAGACTAAGGCACACTTAATCAGGCCATAGTCTTCTCAGTTGTAGTGCATCTGAGAGATGGACACTACTGACAAAATAATCAATGTCTCTGAGTTGTGGTGCTGGAGAACTAAAGATACATGGACTGCCAAGAGAACAAACAGGTCTGTCCTTAAAAGGGTGAAATCAGTTTGCTCTTTGGAGACAAGGATTTTAAAACTCCCAATTTTGAAACTCTGTCTCACATACTCTGGGCATATTATCGGGAAGGGCTAGTCCTTGGAGAAGGACATCATGCTTGGAAGGTCAATGTAGAAGAGGAAGACCCAGGATGAGATGGACTGACACAGTGACTGTGGCAAGGGGATCAGGTGTGTCAGAGATGGTGAGACTGGCTCAGGACAAGGCAAAGTAAAGTTCAGAGCCATTGTTCGTAGAGTTGCCATGACTTGATGGCACAACAATAATCCAGTGGCTGGCAGCAAGAGAAACTCGTTACCCCAATCTCCAGCGAGGTACAGGGACACAAAATGATACTATGATTTTCTGGTCTGTTGGCCATAGGTGTGGACACCTCTGCAGACCTGGGTTCCCACAGTGAATAGCAGCTGGACCCAGTGGCTGTGCTGCACTGTGTACAGTCCCCTGCTCCATCCATCCAATTCTATGTTCTTCACCAGTTCTTTCCTTTCAGTCTCAGCATTCCATGATTGAATTTGTTCCTTCATGTCTTTGTTGAGGACATGAACGGAAGTCTGTCTACTCCACCATATTACCCTGAAGCTCCCTAGACAATTCTTTAAGAGGGACAAACAGTTGGAGAGAAGCTGAACTATATAAAGAAGAATGTGGTGTCTGGATTTGGAGAAGATTCATCAAGAACCTACCTTATGCAGATGGTACAAACTTGCTTGCTGAAACTAAAGACCTAAAGCATTTCCACTGTCAATGCGGACTATACCTGAACATCCAGAAAACAAAACTACCACTGAACCAACAGATATCATCATGGCACACTGAAGTTGCTGTCAAGGATTTCACTGGATCCACAATCAATACTTTTGGTAACGGTAGTCAAGAAGTAAAAGGTCTGCACTGGGCAAACCTGGTAGTAAGGACTACTGTTAAGTGTTCAAGACCAAGGATTTTAGTCAAAAGATCAAGTTTCATCTGACCCAAGCTGTGTTGGATTCTCAGTTGCTTCATGTGTATCTGCAAGTTGGTCTATGAATAAGGAAGACTGTAGATAAATCAATGTCTTTCAATTGCAGTGCTGGCAAGAGTACTGACTATACCATGGACTGCCAAAAGAACAAACAAATCTGTCTTGGAGGAAGTATAACCAGGATGCCAATTAGGGACAAGGATGGTGCAACTTGTCACAGACTTTGGGCATATTGTTGGGAGGGGCCAGTCCTTGGTGAAGGGCATCATGTTTGGAAAAGTAGAGGGCCAGTGAAAGGGAAATGACTGCAAGAGGGGCTTGAGCACAGCAGAGCATGTGAAGATGGCTTGAGACAGGACAAGGTTTCACTGTATAGAGTAACTAGGAGTCAAAGTGGCGCAACACCACTAAACATCAGCCTAATGATGTTTAAGTTTTATATCACCTGTAAATAAAATAATTTTTTAAAAAATAATTTCAGGCGAGCTCTGGTGGCCTTGTGGCAAGAAGCTGCACTGCAATCCTAGAGGTGCACGGTTCAAATCCACCAGATGCTCTGCTGGAGAAGGAGGCACAATCTCCTCCTATACCAGTCAGATCCGATTTGAGGGTGTACACATACACACACACACACACACACACTAATAATAATAAAAAAAATTTAAAAAAATATTCATTAGTCAAGTTGCAATAAATAAACTACTTTACAATGGAAAATTGTTAGCCCAAGAGCATCAACTGTTGGTGGGGCAAACCATAACAGTGAGGTACAAAGCAGTGGACCATGGAGGGAAACTCAGGACATATGTGGCAAGGCCATGCCTAGTCTCCCAACACTGCCACCACTCTGCATTTCAGCTTTTTCCGCCAGCAGTGAAAATATCCACACTCTTCCTACTAACCTGTGTGCTACTTCACAGGAAAACACCTGAGGGCTCCAGAGGCAAGCTGCCAGGGCCAACCGGCAACTCGGCAAGATGTCCACCAGAAAAAAGTGAGGCTCTGCCAAGCAGGAAGCTGACTCTTGGTCCTAGTGATACAGCCAAAGAATCCTGAACTCTTGAGCCAGCACAACTGGGTTTACACCCCAGCTCCACTCGTCACTAGCTGTGTGACATGAAAAATGTCACTTCACTATGAACAACAGATCTTAATCCTGTCCTATATTGTGCCATCCTTACCATCTCTGACACACTTGAGTCCATTACTGCAGTCACTGAATCAATCCATCTTGTTGAGGGTCTTCCTCTCTTTCACTGACTCTCTACCTTTCCAAGCATAATGTCTCTTTCTTCAAGGACTGGCATTTCCTAGCAACATACCCAAAAGTTAATGTTCCCCAAAACACACTAAACATAACATCCAGGCACGTGCCCTCACAAGCCTAGCCAGTACAGTCATTTGCCAAGGCATGTTCATGTCAAGGCAAACATTCTGTCAGCTATATATGGCTCACCTTCAACAGACCTGAGACTAAAACCAGTGTGTTATTCTGTTTCAAAATAAGTTAAGAAAACACATTTTAGGGAGCTCTGGTGACCTAATGTCAATAAGCTGCGCTGCAATCCCAAAGGTCCATGGTTCGAATACACCAGATGCTTCACTGGAGGAGGGGCACTCTCCTCCTGTGCCAGTTGGATCTGATTCAACAGGGTATGCATAAAAACACCCACACACACACCCCTTTTTTTCTACAACCAGCAACTGATGCTGCATTTCCTTCATAGACAAAGTGCCAATGATATTATAGCAGCCAGGAGCTTTCAAATTTCCATCTCTTGCCCTCCTGATCGTATATTACTTCAACAATGATCCACTGCAGCAGATTTCACACACATCACCAGTACTGATGTGATTAACCAGAGAAGGTGGGCAGAGGGGTGCCCATCCCTCAAATGAATTATTTTGATAGAAAGTTCTCTACATTCACTTTGAGAACCATGAGGGCAGATCAGGGGAACTGAGCCAGGCAGCAGTTCCAATGGAGAAAGCTGGGCAGTCTCAGCCGGAAACCAGAAACCTCGAGGGTCACTGTGAGATGGCACGGACTTTGACTGCATGAATGCTGGGCATCCAGCAAGCACTCTAAGGTACTTTCTCAATGGCTGCCAGTCACAACTCACCTGTACCACCTGTAGAACCCAGGCAGATGGCAGACCTGAAAGCAGTGGACCCTAAGAAAGACAGGTGGCTTTACCTCTCGGTGGCTAGATTTGCAAAACTGGGGCCTGATTACGGGGACCCAAGACATTACCTTCCCCTCACCACTTTATAAAGAAAGCAAATAATCATAACGACTCAAAAATCCCAACAACTCAAACCCCTCCTTAGAAAATAAGAAAGGATCCCCAGAAACTCTGGGCTGAGAGAAAGCCTGGGGCTCTGGCTAAGAGGTAGACACAGAGGTAGAAGGCACACTGCATGCAAATGGCACTGATACAAAATCAGAGAAGCCTGCCTTTCCAAACCACATAGTCCAAACCCATTGCCCCAAAAAGCAGTAAGAATTATATTTTTTAGTCATAAAAATGTATACTTTTAACATATATTAAAAATTCTCTTTGACCAAAAATTCTGACTTGGAAAAGGTAAAAAAATTCCTTCTGACTTGAAAAATAAGTAAAATTTTTTTTGTAGGCCTCTAAAATTATGGTAGGGAGCTTTGGTGGCCTAAAGAAGCTAAGCTGTAATCTCAAATGCCCGTAGTTCGGATCCACCAGCTATAGGGTGGTGGAGGGAACAAATGTTGGTGTGATTTATTCCCTCTTAAAATCTGCTGGACAATCAGCTATGAGCTGGTTCCGACTTGACGGCAAACAACAACAACAAAATTATAATGGATTCAGATCTAAAGCCAGCAGAAACTCCGCATCTTGGGATTTGTTGAATCCTCTGGGTGCTGTTCGGAAGGGGAGGTGGGGGGACACACACCAGGGCCAGGCAGAGATAAAAATGGACAGGGGCCTTCTGTTGTTCCACCACGTAATCACAGACACAAGCCCCTAGGTGAGTTCCACGAACATTTAATGATGTGGACGCGGACAAAGCGCACCTCAGTGCCTGCCATCGTCCAAGAGCTGCGGGAACGGCAGCAAGGCAAGCTCAAAGGTCTCTATTCCCGGGAAGCTCATGTCCAGAGCGCTTCTCCGGCTCGGAGGTCATCTTCTCAATCCCAGCACCTGAGTGACAGTGAGGTCACAGCTACCGCTGGGTGGAAGCGTCGGGACCCACGTGCCTCCGCCAGCTGCTTTTTCGCCCCAAAGTCCGCATGCAGAGGCCAGAACACAGAATGGCCAGGGGCGGAACGCCCAAGTCTCCTATGCCCCGGAAGTGGAGTCGTTCTGTGCAGACCTAAGTCGATCAACGTGGCCCCGCCGAGAACATCACCGAGGAACAAAGTTCCGTGTTGCACAGGTGTTCCGGCCCCTCAACCTGAGCCAGGCCCCGGCCATCCTTCCTCAGGGAGCCCCGCCCCACACCCCGCCCCCACCACACCGCTTACCTGGCCGCAGAGGCTCGGTGACGGTGAGCACTAGCAGGAAAAGCAGCAGGAAGGCACCGCTGTCTACCTTGGGCATCATTTATCCTCCGTTCATCGTCCCCGGGTCGGCCGCGATGACCCCACGGGGAGGCCTGGACCAGGCAGGGCTGAGGGACAGGCACCGGGAGGTGGCGCAAGGAGGGACTGCTAGGCCGCTAGCTCGTGTGCACACACAGTATGCACCTAGTTCTGACCCTCCAGTTCTACGCAAGATGGCGGCCGTCCTGTTCAGCACCGCACCGCGGCGCACCACCCCTTTCCGAGACGCCGGCATAGGCCAATGGACACAGAGGTGGGCGGGCACCGCGCCTCCAGCGGCCTGCGGACCATTGGCTGCCCGGGAGGTTAGCGCCTGCTCGGAGGCGGGACTTCAGCTGCAATCCCTCCGGAGGGCGAGGCCTAAGGGCGGGATGGGAAGGCGGAGCCGGGGCGTGGGCGGAGCCTAAAAGTCAATCCCAGAGGAGGGCGCGGAGCGGGGGTCTGAGTGCAATACCCAAGGAGGGCGGGGCCTAAGGGCGGGGGTGGGGGCGGAATTGAGCAGCTCTCCGCGAGGAGGGGCCAGGGGGGAGGGACCTGAGTCACAGGAAGAGAGTAAAGGCAAGTCGGGGCGGGGCCTAACGAAGCGTGACCTGTGCAGCAACCCTGGAAAAGGGCGAGGCCTAAGGGCACCGTGGGGGCGGTACTAAGGGCGGTCCTACCATGGGTCATAGGATTTCACGGCGCTGGGAGGCCTCCCTCAGAGAAACTGACTACACACACCAAGCCAAAACGGGCAGACCACGGAGGAGTAGGGTCACGGGGTCTGCAGGCTAAGGATGGTGGACCAGGGCGGGTGTCCTTCCTGGACAAAGAATGAAGCGTGATGTGGCAGGAGTCACAGGGATGAAGATGAAGATGAACCTGGGACCATTCACACCTTGCACACCTGCAGGTCCTAAACAGTTGTGTCCTAAACAAGAAAAGACCATTGCTGTAGAATCATAGCGACCCTGAAATAAAAAACATAATTGCCCCAGGTTGATTTTTTTTTCACCTTACGAAATTTAGATAATTTATTAGAATTGAGTAAGTATAGACTGAATAAGTATGAAAAAAGAATACAACGCTGATGTATTTCTAATTTTAAACCATGTAATGTTCTCCTGCTCTATTCGCACCACAGCCTCCAGGTCCAGGAATAGGTTTCGCATGAGCACAACCAAGTGCTTTGGAATTCTCATTATCTCAGTGTCAGCCACAATTTAGAATCTGCACAAATACATTTTGCATAGTCAACAAAGCATACACATCCTTCTGGTATTCTTTGCTTTCAGCCAGGATACATCTGACATCAGAAATTATATCCCTAGTGCCATGGCCTATATTCTGAATGAACTTCTGGTAGTTCTCTATCTACATACTTTTCTAGTTGTTTTTGAATGCTCTTCAGCAGTATTTTGCTTGCATTAACATTCTGTTGAATCACCTTTCATTGGAATGGGAACAAATACGGACCTCTTCCAATCCGTTGACTAAACAGGCAGCCTCCAAATTTCCTGGCATACACTATGACTGCAGCCTCCAGAATCCAACTGCTCCAAAGTGGAGATGCTTAGTCAGGGCCAAATCAACATTTTTCTTTCTTTTTATATTAGTTTATTAATAAAACTCAAATACATTGTTTTCCAGACCAGATTCTTCCAATTTCCCTCACCCCCCCCATCAAATTGTACAACCCCATGATCTATTTCCTCCCTCCCTATCCTCATCCCTCTGCTTCCACCCTCCTTGTATCCTCATTCACATTCTACAATAATGGTATTATACAATATTTGTCCTTGTGGGACTGAGATAGTTCACTCAGCATAATACTCTCCAGTCCCTCCCAAGTTAGGTAATAATTGACAATATCATTGCTCCTGCGTGCTGAATATTATTCCACGGTGTGAATGTACTATAATGTCTCAATCCATTCCACTGTGGTTGGAAATCTGGGCTGTTTCCATGTTCCATGTTCCTGCAATGGTGAATAGTGCTGCTATGAACATTGGTGTACAAGTTTCCATTTGTGCCTCGGTCCTCATTTTCTCAGGGTATATTCCAAGCAGTGGAATAGCTGGGTCTTATGGAATTTCCATGTTCAGCTTTTTGAGGAAGCACCAAACTGCCTTCCAGAATGGTTGTATCATCTTACAACCCCACCAATAAGGTATAAGAGTTCCTTTCTCACTACATCCTCTCCAACATTTATTACTTGCTGTCCTATTAAGCTTTGCCACTGTTACTGGAGTGAGATGGTATCTCATTGTGGTTTTGATTTACATCTCTTTTATTGCTAGTGATTTTGAGCATTGCTTCATGTGTCTGTTTGCCACTCGAATATCTTCCTCTGTGAAGATTCTTTCCATGTCTTTTGCCCATTTTATAATTGGGTTATCAGTCTTTTTCTTGTGGAGGCCCAGGAGTATTCTGTAAACTTTCGTTATGACACTCTTGTCTGAGATGATATTACCAAATGTTTGTTTCCAGTAAGTAGGTTTTCTTTTCACTCTGTTGGGAAAAGTTTTAATGTGCACAGGGATTTAATCTTTGGAAGGTCCCATTTATCAATTTTATCCTCTTCAGATTTTGCATTTCTGGTTGTATTTGGCAGTCTCTTTATACCTTGCACTAGGGCTTCTAAGCTTGATCCCAGTTTTTCTCTTATGAATTTTATGCTTTTGGGCTTTACTCCACCTTGAGTTGATTTTTGTGTATGGTGTGAGATGGGGATCCTGTCTCAGCTTTCTGCAGGTGGAAGTCCAGTTTTGCCAGCACCATTTTTTAAAGAGGTTGTAATTTTCCCATTTGAAAGCTTTCATTTCCTTTTTTACTATCAGTTGACCATAGATATGCTGGGTCTACTTCTGAGTTCTCAGTTCTGGTCTATGTGCCTGTCATTGCATCAGTACCATGCTGTTTTGGTTATTACTGCTATGTAGTAGTTTTTGAGGTCAGGGAGTGCAATGCCTCTCACCTCATTTTTGTTTCTCAGAAGTTTTTGCTTTTTTAGGGTCTCTTGACTCTTCAAATAAATTTGACAATTTCCCTTTCAATCTCCTTGAAAAATGAATTTGATATCTATATTGAGATTACATTGTAGATTACTTTTTGACAGGATTGTCATTTTCACAATACTGAGTCTTTCTATCCATGAACAGGGCACATTTTTTCATTTCCTTAGGTCTTTCATTGTGTCTTGTAGAAATTCTCTGTAGTTTTCTATTTATAGGTCTTTTGTATCTCTAGTTAGGTTCACTACCAAGTATCTCAATTTGTGGTTGGCTATTGTAAATAATACTGCATTCTTTATTTCCTTCTCTGCATTCTTTGTTACAGTAAAAGGATCGTACTGATTTTTGGATATTGATCTTTTTCCCTGTCACTCTACTAAACTGGCCCACTAACTCTAACAGGGTTTTGTGGTTTTATTGCTGAGTCTTTGGGGTTTTCTGTGTATGCTATCATATCATCTACATATAGGGACAGTTTAACCATTTCTTTGCTGATCTGGATGCCTTTTATTTCCCTCTCTTGTCACACTGCCCTAGCAAGCACTTCGAGTGCTTTTGAATAGAAGTGATGACAGTGAGCATCCTTGTCTGATCCATGTTCGCAAGGAAAACACTTTTAATCTTTCTCCATTGATAATGATTTTGGCTCTTGGTTTTACATGTATACTTTTCATTATGTTGAAGAAATTCCCTTCTATTCCAATTTTGCTGAATGTCTTTATCAGGAAGGGATAGTCTATTTTGTGAAATGCCTTTTCTGCATCAGTTGCTAAGATCATATGGTTATTTATTTTGTTAATATAGTGAATTACATTGATTGTTTTTCTTATATTGAACCATCCTTGCATACTTGTTGTAAATTACACTTGGCCATGGTGAAGTTTTTTTTTTTTTAATGTGCTTCTGGATTCTCTTGGCTAGGATTTTGTTAATAAGTTTTTCTTTCTTGGCAATATCTTTGCCTGGTTTCAGTATTAGGGTTATCCTTGATTCATAGAATGACTCTGGAAGTGTTCCTTCTTTTTCAGTTTTTTGAAATAATTTAAATAGACTTGGTGTTAAATCCTCTCTGAATGTTTGGAAGAATTCAGCTATGAAGCCATCTGGTCCAGGACTTTTCTTATGGGGAAGTCTTTTTATGACCTTTTCACTTTCCTCTTTTGTGATGGAGCTGTTCAAGTGCTCTATATCGGTCTTTGTCAATCTGGGTTGTTGTTGGTGTTGTTATGTGCCGTCGAGTCGCTTGCGACTCATAGCGACCCTATGTACAACAGCCCTAAACTCCACTCTGTCCTGTGCCAATTGCACTGTCTCTGACACTCCCATTCCAATTATCCCAGCCACCGAATCAATCCACCTCATAGAGGTCCCTCCTCTCCTGC